AATCCAGAAGAAGTGGATTTTTTGGTGGAATTTTTACATTCATCTCTCGCAGATGTGGAGAGTTTAAACTAATCACAATTCTCCCCAGTATGCTATCATCTCTGTAATTTGAAAAAGGATCAGGAGCCCACAGGCTTGGAAAATCTTGAAGGAACTCTTGTCCTGAAATACATCATCACATGTGGAAAAGACCACTTGCTGCATCATCTTAAAGGAGCTTAAGAATGCTGAAATCCAGTATCATTCTGGCATTCTTTCAAATGGCCTTAGAAATCCGAGTACATTTGCTTTTGACTGCAAAACAGCTTCTTTCCCTTTCGATCAATCCTGTGGCTGTCAATGTGTCTGCTGCAAGGTGCCAAAAACGTATGGAGTGTCTATGGGATAACACTGCCAAAGTCAGGGGTGCCTCAAGGCCTTCTCCCATGAACCCGCTGCAGCATTTGCTCAGTTGGAAAGCATTTGAAACAAAAAAGGAAGAAAAAAAAGAAAAAAAGGAGGCACAGACCTTTAAAAATTCCTTAAACTGCAATGATTGTTTTTTGCAGATTGCTGCCTGCTGTTTAGATCCTTGTTGTTCAAAACTTCTGAAAGGCCTGATGCAATCAAAGAGACTTACTGGGTCAAATTGATTCCAGACCAGTTCCTGGGATCACACTGAGGTGAATCTGACATACTGGGCCTTCAGCTAAGCTGTGGCCAGGAGAAAGGAGTTGAGGTCACGCCCTGAATTTTGCCCTCTCTTAGGAAATGAGTGAATTTGCTTGTGCAAATCATGTCTCCCACTGACAGCTTATATTGGTGCAAACAGAAAGGTTACTGACTGCTGAGGGCTGGAACAGTACAGAATGACCACTTTGTCTGATGATGATGCTTTTTTTTTTTTTTATACTTACTTTGATACTTTCTCCTTAGGAAGAGAGGACAGAAAGCTGGAATGCTGTCCTGGGTGGAAGCCATCATGTTCTCTAATCCTCAAGTTACTGCAAGCTTTCTCAGTGGTGTTGATAAAACTGGATTTTGCCACCACAGTGATGAGGACAAAAAAACTTCCCAGGGCAGGATGTTAATTTGCCTCTTCTTTTTTGCCTGGGAACCAAAGAGAGCCTTAATTGAGGTCGAGCAGAGCTTTCCTCAGCCCTCTTCTCTGAATGATGAACTCTCCAGGGCTTGGGTGATGACAGAGGTCAGCAGAGCCAAGGAATACCAAAGCTGTCATTTCCTAGCGCTACCCACTGCCAGCCAGGAGGGGAATGAATGCAGGGAGTCACTCTTCTTTTTGATGTGATGGCATGTTGCAGTCCTTTATGTCTTCCCATCTCTTGCCTCAGAAGCTAGGATGGAGGTAGCACAGTGACTGCCTCCACTAAGGTGTTCTGCTGCCTCCAGCAAATGCAGATCCAGTTCAACTTCTTCCTCCCAGTCACAGGATATTGGTCTA